ACAAATTTAAAATGTGATATAGGCCCACCAAGTGGACCACACACAAATTAAAAATTTGAGGTAGGCCCACCAAGTGGACCACACACAAATTAAAAATTTGAGGTAGGCCCACCAAGTGGACCACACAAATTTAAAATGTGAGATAGGCCCACCAAGTGGACCAAACACAAATTTAAAATGTGAGATAGGCCCACCAAGTGGACCACACACATTTAAAATGTAAGATAGGCCCACCAAGTGGACCAACACAAATTTAAAATGTGAGATAGGCCCACCAAGTGGACCAAACACAAATTTAAAATGTGAGATAGGCCCATCAAGTGGACCACACACAAATTTAAAATGTAGGTAGGCCCACCAAGTGGACCACACACAAATTTAAAATGTGAGGTAGGCCCACCAAGTGGACCACACACAAATTTAAAATGTGAGATAGACCAGCCAAGTGGACCACAAATTTAAAATGTGAGATAGGCCCACCAAGTGGACCAAACACAAATTTAAAATGTGAGATAGACACACCAAGTGGACCACACACAAATTTAAAATGTGAGATAGACCAGCCAAGTGGACCACAAATTTAAAATGTGAGATAGGCCCACCAAGTGGACCAAACACAAATTTAAAATGTGAGATAGGCCCACCAAGTGGACCACACACATTTAAAATGTGAGATAGGCCCACCAAGTGAACCACAAACGTAAAATGTGAGGTAGGCCCACCAAGTGGACCACACACACATTTAAAATGTAAGATAGGCCCACCAAGTGGACCACACACAAATTTAAAATGTGAGGTAGGCCCACCAAGTGGACCACACACAAATTTAAAATGTGAGGTAGGCCCACCAAGTTGACCACACACAAATTTAAAATGTGAGGTAGGCCCACCAAGTGGACCACACACAAATTTAAAATGTGAGATAGACCCACCAAGTGGACCACACACATTTAAAACGTGATATAGGCCCACCAAGTGGACCAAACACAAATTAAAAATGTGAGGTAGGCCCACCAAGTGGACCACACACAAATTTAAAATGTGAGATAGACCAACCAAGTGGACCACAAATTTAAAATGTGAGATAGGCCCACCAAGTGGACCACACACAAATTAAAAATTTGAGGTAGGCCCACCAAGCGGACCACACACACATTTAAAATGTGAGGTAGGCCCACCAAGTGGACCACACACACATTTAAAATGTGAGGTAGGCCCACCAAGTGGACCACATACAAATTTAAAATGTGAGGTAGGCCCACCAAGTGGACCACACACACATTTAAAATGTGAGGTAAGCCCACCAAGTGGACCACATACACATTTAAAATGTGAGGTAGGCCCACCAAGTGAACCACACACAAATTTAAAATGTGAGATTGGCCCACCAAGTGGACCACACAAATTTAAAATGTGAGGTAGGCCCACCAAGTGGACCACACACAAATTTAAAATGTGATATAGGCCCACCAAGTGGACCGCACACAAATTAAAAATTTGAGGTAGGCCCACCAAGTGGACCACACACACATTTAAAATGTGAGGTAGGCCCACCAAGTGGACCACACACAAATTTAAAATGTGAGATAGACCAACCAAGTGGACCACAAATTTAAAATGTGAGATAGGCCCACCAAGTGGACCACACAAATTTAAAATGTGAGGTAGGCCCACCAAGTGGACCACACACAAATTAAAAATTTGAGGTAGGCCCACCAAGTGGACCACACACACATTTAAAATGTGAGGTAAGCCCACCAAGTGGACCACATACAAATTTAAAATGTGAGGTAGGCCCACCAAGTGAACCACACACAAATTTAAAATGTGAGATTGGCCCACCAAGTGGACCACACAAATTTAAAATGTGAGGTAGGCCCACCAAGTGGACCACACACACATTTAAAATGTGAGGTAGGCCCACCAAGTGGACCACACATTAAAAAATGTGAGGTAGGCCCACCAAGTGGACCACACACAAATTTTAAAATGCTCACAAGCAAACCGTGAGTCTAAAACTAGCGTATAGAGAAACAGCTGTCATAAATGAACACAAAGGGCCTCTGCACCTCATAACAAAGCGTTCTCATGCTTATAATAAGCAATGTTTCCACTCGAAGGTTCAATGAATTTAACAACCAGCTCTTGATGTTGTAGCAAAAAAGCAACACAGCCTTTCATGTATAACGTGTGAAACTTATCACATACACGATCACGTACACTGATATGTTGAACTGATCACATACACGATCACGTACACTGATATGATGAACTGATCACATACACGATCACGTACACTGATATGTTGAACTGATCACATACACGATCACGTACACTGATATGTTGAACTGATCACATACACGATCACGTACACTGATATGTTGAACTGATCACATACACGATCACGTACACTGATATGTTGAACTGATCACATACACGATCACATACACTGATATGTTGAACTGATCACATACACGATCACGTACACTGATATGTTGAACTGATCACATACACGATCACATACACTGATATGTTGAACTGATCACATACACGATCACATACACTGATATGTTGAACTGATCCCATACACGATCACGTACACTGATATGTTGAACCGATCACGTACAATGATCACGTTGAATTGATCACGTTTATAACAGAGGCGTAGCGAGGGGGGGGCGGGGGTGCGGACCGCACCGGGTGACACCACTTAGGGGGGGGGTGACACCAAGGCAAAAAATGGCAAAATATATATGGAGAAAAACTTGAGGGGGGGGGTGCAAATCAAAAGTTTGAGGGGGGGGGGGGTGCAAATCGAAAACTTGAGGGGGGGGGTGCAAATCGAAAATTTGTCCCCGGGAAGGGTCGCTACGCCTCTGGGGGGGGGGGGGGTGACACCATTAAGTGCCGCACCGGGTGACACCCGACCTCGCTACGCCACTGGTTTATTATATTATGTGTACTGAAAAGTGTGGGTACCTGCAAGTCAAGTAAAAGACACACTATACACATATTGTCGAACCCGCTACATCTAACTTGAGCAGATTTTGTACATCACTGTAACAGATTTAAAAATTTAGCCCAGGCACTGCTGTTGTAAAACTCAGGAGTTTTGGAAACAAAAGACCAGCCTTGCAATAACGGTATGTCAGATTGGTTATTTAAATTTGCTTACACATAGTTACATTGTTCAAGCCGAATACAGTCTCTTCTCCTTTATTAATCGCCTTGTTAGGATTATAAAATGCTCATCTGAACAATTGGTCTATTGAACTTGGTCTATGCCGGTGAAATAATCCAACAGGACATGTGTACGGTAAAATGTCTCAGTCATGTCGATGTTGGGTGCTTTTATTCACCAACAGTGGGGTACAGATACAAGATGGACGCCTTCATTGACCATCAGTTTAAAATAAAAAACATCGACCACAAGATGGACGCCTTCATTGACCAACAGTTTAAAATAAAAAAAACATCGACCACAAGATGGCCGCCTTCATTGACCAGAAGTTTAAAATAAAAAACATCGACCACAAGATGGACGCCTTCATTGACCATCAGTTTAAAATAAAAAAACATCGACCACAAGATGGACGCCTTCATTGACCAACAGTTTAAAATAAAAAAAAAACATCGACCACAAGATGGCCGCCTTCATTGACCAACAGTTTAAAATAAAAAAAAACATCGACCACAAGATGGACGCCTTCATTGACCAGAAGTTTAAAATAAAAAACATCGACCACAAGATGGACGCCTTCATTGACCAGCAGTTTAAAATAAAATAAAAAACATCGACCACAAGATGGACGCCTTCATTGACCAACAGTTTAAAATTAAAAAAACATCGACCACAAGATGGACGCCTTCATTGACCATAAGTTTAAAATAAAAAACATCGACCACAAGATGGACGCCTTCATTGACCATAAGTTTAAAATAAAAAACATCGACCACAAGATGGACGCCTTCATTGACCAACAGTTTAAATAAAAAACATCGACCACAAGATGGACGCCTTCATTGACCAGCAGTTTAAAATAAAAAAAACATCGACCACAAGATGGACGCCTTCATTGACCAGCAGTTTAAAATAAAAAAAACATCGACCACAAGATGGACGCCTTCATTGACCAACAGTTTAAAATAAAAAACATCGACCACAAGATGGACGCCTTCATTGACCAACAGTTTAAAATTAAAAAAAACATCGACCACAAGATGGACGCCTTCATTGACCAGCAGTTTAAAATAAAAAACATCGACCACAAAACGGACGCCTTCATTGACCAACAGTTTAAAATAAAATAAAAAAACATCGACCATCAGTTTAAAATAAAAAACACCGACCACAAGATGGACGCCTTTATTGACCAGCAGTTTAAAATAAAATTAAAAAAAAACATCGACCGCAAGATGAACGCCTTCATTGACCAGCAGTTTTAAATAAAAAAACATCGACCACAAGATGGACGCCTTCATTGACCAACAGTTTAAAATAAAAAACATCGACCACAAGATGGACGCCTTCATTGACCAACAGTTTAAAATAAAAAACATCGACCACAAGATGGACGCCTTCATTGACCAGCAGTTTAAAATAAAAAAAACATCGACCACAAGATGGACACTTTCATTGACCATCAGTTTAGTACAAACGCTAACTATAAGATGGGCGCCTTCTTTTAATATTTTTTTTATTTTTTTATTCTTCACTGATTATTCGATCTTGTTTTAAATTTTTAAAAATTCAATTGTCCTAATAAAGCGCCAGTACTAAACTTTCAAGCGTGGGGGGCATTTCACTCCCAGTGCTCCCCCTTGATACGCCTCCTGGTGTAATGAACTGGGTATTTATTTTCGAAATTAAAAAAAATATCAACCAATTTAAAGATGGTTGAACGAGATAAGTTTTACAGTATTTATTACCTGTTGTCGTGGCTACGACCTGATGACGTAGCTCATTTGTTTACTAGTTGCCTATTTATTCACAAGTGAGACTTAGATTCAGACCACAATCCTCGCTGGGCGTGCAAAAGTTTTTACTCCAGGATTTTGGGTTCGAGGCTAAAGACATCGCTCAAGTGGTCAGTCACTCCTTCACCAGCTGCAAGAATCGCTGCCAAGATCTGCCTGCAAGGTACAACAGTAGTGGACGGTCATTTGGTGAGTGGTTAGTTTACAGGCTTTTAGTAAATGTCATATCGTTTTACTAAATGTCACTATGTTTTACTGAATGTCTCAATCTTTTACTAAATATCATAGCGTTTATTAAAGGTCACTATGTTTTACTGCATGTCACGTTGTTTTTATTAATGTGATTATGTTTTTACTAAACGTCACAATGTTTTACTAAATAACATAACGTTTTACTAAATATCACAGTATTTTACTAAATGTCATAACGTTTTACTAAACTGTCACAACGTTTTACTAAATGTCACAATGTTTTACTAAATGTCACAATATTTGACTAAATGTCACAGTTTTACTAAATGTAGCAATGTTTTACTAAATGTCACAATGTTTTACTAAATGTCACAATGTTTTACTGAATGTCATAAAGTTTTACTAATTGTCACAATATTTTACTAAATGTTATAACTATTTCTAAATGTCAAAACGTTTTATACTAAATTTCATAACGTGTTTCTAAATGTCACACTATTTTACTAAATGTCATAACGTTTTACTAAATGCAATAATCTGATTCTACATGTGAAAACGTATTTCTAAATGTCATAGTCTCATGCGATCAGTGAGGTGAACTCTCGTTTGATCCAGTGTTTCTTCCAGACTTTTTTCTCCGGGGGGGGGGGGGCACTTGAAATTTTCGGGGGGGGGGGGGGGGGGGGTAAAAAACTCGTTTGATAAGGGAGGTGAACTCTCGTTTGATCAGTGAGGTGAACTCTCGTTTGATCAGTGAGGTGAACTCACATGCGATCAGTGAGGTGAACTCTCGTGCGATCAGTGAGGTGAACTCTCGTGCGATCAGTGAGGTGAACTCTCATGCGATCAGTGAGATGAACTCTCATTTGATCAGTGAGGTGAACTCTCGTTTGATCAGTGAGATGAACTCTCATGCGATCAGTGAGATGAACTCTCGTGCGATCAGTGAGGTGAACTCTCGTTTGATCAGTGAGGTGAACTCTCGTTTGATCAGTAAGGTGAACTCACGTTTGATCAGTAAGGTGAACTCACGTTTGATCAGTGAGGTGAACTCTCGTTTGATCAGTAAGGTGAACTCACGTTTGATCAGTAAGGTGAACTCTCGTTTGATCAGTGAGGTGAACTCTCGTTTGATCAGTGAGGTGAACTCTCGTTTGATCAGTGAGGTGAACTCTCGTTTGATCAGTGAGGTGAACTCACGTTTGATCAGTGAGATGAACTCTCATGCGATCAGTGAGATGAACTCTCGTTTGATCAGTGAGGTGAACTCTCGTTTGATCCGTGAGGTGAACTCTCGTTTGATCAGTGAGGTGAACTCACGTTTGATCAGTGAGGTGAACTCTCATGCGATCAGTGAGGTGAACTCTCGTTTGATCAGTGAGGTGAATTCACATGCGATCAGTGAGGTGAACTCTAGTTTGATCAGTGAGGTGAACTCTCGTTTG